AGGGTTGATTTCTAATAAGAAGAGGTTTCTAGCCAAGATCCTTTGGAGGACATGAAACAATTTTAAATTTTTTTTTTCTTTTTTTTCATTTTCATATAAGTGCATTTGCACATTTTAGATATTCTCCTTTCCTTTTATTTTTTCCTTTCTCCTTTTGTAGTTTCTTGAATTCAGTTCCTTGAAGGATAATAAGCAGTGACAACTTGCTGACAATGATGGGTAAAGTTAGGAGGGTCTTCACCCAAAACTTAGTTCGAAGTGAAATATTGTTTCCAAAGTTGCACTTAGAGGCTAAAGCTCTTTTGAGAATTGAAAACTATTGACAAGTGTGTCAGTACAAGATTTTAGTTTAGCCATGATACAATTGTCCTATGTATCTCGATCGGTTTTCTTAATGATTAATAAATATACAGTATTGGGTATTAAAAAAAAAAAAAAAAAAAAATTATTTAAGCCAAAATTTTTCTATTTTTATTATTTTATGAAAAATACTGATAAAAGATTAAATCAAGATAAGTAAATTTTTTAATTTTAATCAAATATTTTTTATTGAGAAAAAGTTTAAAATATAAATTTTCTAAAGAAACCAAATTTTATTTTTTAAAAAAATTTTTTTTATAAATGCTAATGTATATTTATATATATATATTTTCTTTTTTAACTTATCCTTTTATATAACGTCATGCATATTTTTAACCGTTTACAACAATCGAAACCTGATTGAATCTATTTTTTTTTTGCCCTTTGCTCTTCGCAACGTTGATGAAATCACGTCATTTTTTACAGACTTGGCGTTTCTTATCTATCCCCCGAAGCATCTCTTTCATTCCGATAAGGTCAAGGTCTTTGGCCGAAATAACGATTCGTTGATAATCTCAGTTTATGTCGTCATCTTGAACCAAGCGAATTATTTCACCTGCTCCGAATCCTATAAACACCCAATTTCAATGCATTCAGGGACAATGCTTGTGCATCATCTAAATAGTGTTAAAGCAAAATTATTTTATGTAAGGTCACCTGGGCCTTCATCTGATAGTACGATTGTTCCCAATGAAATGGCATTTGCGCACGGGAAACTCATACGCGATAAGCTTTAATAAACCGAACTCGTTTGGCGTTAACTTTTAGATCAATTCATCGGTTTCCTGTTGTCGAGATAAGAGATTTGGATTGCGTGATTTTTAGAAAAGGATTGTTTTCAACCTCTCACAGAGCATTCCCCGAGTAATAGTGCTAGGTTGAATAAAATAGCATCTGTCCCCCTTATCCCTTTAACATCAATGGTATTGATCCTTAATTAACAATAAATTAAAATTGATTGCTTAATGATGTGTGTTGATTTTTCCTCAAAATCCATTGATCGAGGTATTAAATTTTAAGCTACACAGTGTATACATTTGGTTAATCTTAAAATAATTTACATAATTAAACCGAGCACACTATTAAAGTCGGCTTTTAAACCATAATTCTTTCAATCCTCGATGATCATGACAGAAGCAGCATATTATGAATCTTTCATTACTCACATACAAGAAAATCTTAAAGTATTCATTCATTTGTTCATGACACTTTAATATGAATCATGTATAAAATAAAATAAAGAAAGCACTTTTAATCATATCACGATCAAGAAACCAATATCGTGAATCAAACAATACAGTATCAAGATACTTAGATACACATCAAATAATTGTACTTATACATACATATACATATATATATTTTATTTTATTTTATTAAACAGATATTGTAAAAAAAATAAAACATGTTCAAATATCTCCAAACTTGTAAAAAAAAGAAAAAGAACTATTCAAATAACGAAAGGAGTTTTAAATGTGTCTGCAAAAGTAAACGTTTTATATTTAAGATTGTTTGTCGGATTCCTTCTCAACAACGTCATAGTCATCTTGGTTGTCGTCATGATCTCCATCCTCTTCATCCTCTCTTTCCCTTTCGTCACGATCCTCCTTTCCTTCATCACCATCCTCTTTTCCTTCGTCATCATCCTCATCCCTTCTTTCATCATCTCTTTTTTTTTTCTGCTCCCAGAGCAAGATATCAACCACACGACCAATTCTTCCATTATACTTTTTTAATAATTCTTCGTAGTGAGAATTATCTTCGGAAGTGAAACCCATCAAATTCAGGAGTCCAACGTTTTTAGCAAGTTCCTCGGGAGTTAGCAGCCTATTTTGATGATGAGGGAAGGGGCGACTTCGGAATATACCGTGTCTGTGTCCACGTGCATAACGATGTAAACGCGGTTCATCTCTGCTTAACCTACGCTTTCTTCGAGGGTCAAAGCCACCACGATGACTTCTAAGAATATGATTCGAGTGATGTTGTGAATCAACTTCGTGCCTACCGTGATCAAACCTATGACTGTCACGACGGTGTTCAAAAATATTGCTTTTGCAGTTCGACTCGCATTCTGAGTCGGATTCGCGCCTATCATTTTCAGACTTACGACCACCGCGATGACGACCTTTAATCGAATGATCCGATTCATAACCATGATCGGAGCCGTGCCTATTGTGTTCAAATCTATCACGAAGACCAGGTCCATGTCTATGATGATCAGAGTGGTCGGAGTGATATCCCAATTCCCTCTCAAATTTACCGCGGGGACCGTGTCCATGCTCTCGAGAAGGCGAGCCAACGTGAGGCCCGTCGTTTCTACCTCCATATTCGTAGGGTCTAGGGAAGGATTTTCCGTGAAATCCCTTCACATGTCTTTCAGTCTCAAACCTTTCGCGAGAGTCATGTAATTTGCCATGAGGTCTGTAACCATGCCTGTGAGATGGAGTACCGCGTTCGTGGTTTTCGTCTGCTTCGAATTTACTACGAGGAACATGATGATAAGGGGGATGAATACGTTCTTCAGTTTCAAATCTACCACGAGGACCACCTCGAGGTCCGCGTCCATGTCCTCGAGAGAGGTGATGATAAGGGGAACGAATGCGTTCTTCGGTCTCAAATCTACCGCGAGGTCTGTGTTCACGAGGACCAAAACCATGGTGTCTGGGTTCACGATGAAATTCAGAACCAGTTTCTAAAGTAGGTTCACGCTTTTCATGTGGGACAGGGCAAAATCTACCTCTGCGAGAATCATAACCGCGTCCGTCGGTGAATTCTTCCTTTTCGGGATTGTGCATAAAGTGAGGCTCACGTCTAAGTTCACGAGCATGTGGAGGACCACGGCGCACATCAATTTTGTCATGTCTTTCACGCGGGTGACCAATTCTACGTGGTCCGCCACGAGGTCCGAATGGCCCAAATAAACCAATCCTTCGTCCACCACGAGAGTCATGCTTCCTACCGCCATGAGAGATTAGCAAGTAAATTTCCGGTTCAGATTCCACACCTTTCTTGCCAGTGGTTCGATCTGCCGTATTATCAAAACGGGCATTTTTTTCGGAGGTCTCCCCGAATTCGTTGTTAAATTGAACTGTTCCCATGTTCTTCTTTATCACTATTGTTTGTTTGTATTTCTTTCTTAGTTTCCTTTGGCAGGTATTTTTTGTGTTCAAAGTCTTTAATAAAGGGAATGTTTGAATTTTCTTAAATTTTTGGTGCTCTACCCTTTTATACAATTTCCTGTTTACATCGGAAAAATTCATTCGGAGCTCGGTTAAATTATGGCTAATTTACATCCGTTTTCCAAAAGCCAAGATTTCGTTTTTTGTTCAACGGTGGTGTGGCAGTTTGCTAGTTTAATACGCATTTCACCGGAAAAGCTATTCCATCTATGTCTCATAGGTTCGGTTTTTCGGAATTCATATTCCTTTCGGCATTTGCGTAGCACAACAAAACTAATCATGCTTTTTTTATCAATTACCGTGGCTCGTTGAACTAAATAACACAAAGTAAAAAGTGAATGGTCTCATCATTTATGTAAAGCCCATTCTTGCTTTTTCCAGATTCACTAAATCATGCTTTAATTATAGGTATATTAATTGTTGTTTCGGGTAATCAGGTTACACCCAAATAAAAGGTCAATTGGATCAATGCATGTGTGTTAGGTATTGTTGAATTTTTTTTTTTTTTTACAAGGCATTTATTGATTCGAAACGGATGTCGTACTTACGATGCACACATACACAAATACGGACATGCAGTAAATGACTCACAACCCCTCAAGTTTTTCTATAATTAGGCGAATCAAACAAAAGCCTCAGCCGAACCCATGACCATGCAACACACTGATCGAAACTAATATTAATATGTAATTGATCAATGACATATTTTCATCGGAAAGTTTGCTCGCAATATATTTATCTACGTATCGATAAGTAGATAAACTGATAACGTGATCTCCGATAACATATCGGCAAACCTTGATTATAAATTCCCACGATGCCGATCTGTGTCATCAAGGCTTTTCTGAACCAAATTTCCTACCTTCTTTCTAAAATAAAAAAACATGACTCAAATTCATCCTCTTGCCATTATTTCCAATGGGGGAATTTGGACTGTGCAACAGAACAATAGGACCGAATCGACGACCACACCGAAATACGCTTTGTTTCGTCTTCGGAACCTGAGGGTGCCCAACATTTTCTTGACCTTGACTTTGAATTGATTACGCACGTAACCAACGCAGAGCACTCTTAACCTTTCTCATATCGTCAATTTTTGCTGGATTCGTTAAAAATGTTTTGCATAGGGTCCGATTGATGAAGTGGCATTATGCAACGCCATATTGACGTCTCAAGACGCTCGCGAAGATTTTACCTTCGAAGTGTCCGATTACGATGGTACAGCTGCCACTGTAAGTTCGTGATCTCATAATCGACCAGTCTAGTTTTTATCCTTTCCCCATACTACTGGGGCTTGAAAGTTTATATTTGGTAAACTGGAAATCAAATTTTTTTTTTTTTTTTTTTTTTATTTTTTTTTTTTTTTTTATTGCAAATGTTTGATCGGTTTTACTAGGTCCGAGTTGTCTTTAACAATACGACACATGAGAATTTGGTCCAACGATTAAGTATTTATTCAGAGATCAGAAATCTCTCGGAGAATGGGTTTTATGATTGGTTACCGCTTGACTCTGCTACCATTCAATGCATGAATCCACGTCCGATGATAGAATCCACGCCTTCGTATGAAGATCAATCGATTCAAATTGAAACTGTGGATAGAGCGATTGATCAAATAAGTAGTGAAGATTACAACGGAAATATATGCTTCACATCGATCTTTCCGGGCACCACTCTAACGTCCAGTGAGGACGGTCAAACGAGCATTCTGTGGGGTGAATCATTCAGAAACATTGCCACGACCATTAAAATGGTTAATCTTATGATCCTCACAAGGACAAGGAATTTCACCGAATCAGTAATTATTCGTTTTCTTATTAATTGTGCATATTTTGCGAAGAGTACTTTGTTATCTTTTTTCTGATAATGCGTTTGTTTTTTTTTATTTAACGAACAGGAAAAAGATAGATTTCTTGTGTTTATTGTTCGAATTTTAAATGTCATGAAAAGTATTCCCATACTCGGCAAAACGATCATGACAATCGAAGAGTATACAGGTGGTAAGGTGGGGTGTGATTTCTTTAAAGACTACTACCAAGAGTTAGATCAGCTCTTGGTAGAATTGGAAGAAGCAATCGGTAAAACGATTATATCTTTAAGCGCCGGACAATATGGCAACCTAAATGGTACGAATATGATATCTTTCTTTGCCTTTGTCTATGTTGTGATTTAAAAGTTTAAACTCCACTTGCAGAACACTTCCGAGATATGGGGGAGGTGCTTTCTCGTATACGCCCGTTTGTTGAAAGGGGAAAACGGGAATTGGATGAGTTGGTAGAGTATGTCAAAAAACTTCAAGAAAAGAAAGATCTCGCAGACAAAATCTTCAGAGGAGCAGTCACGTAAGTAATTGTGGTTTGGATTAATCGCCACTTGTGTTACATGTGCTTGTTCGTATTGACGAAAGAAACTAATTTCTTTTTGTTTTCCTTGCAACCGTAATATAGCGGTGCGGCGCTTTCTTTGACTGCGGGGTTCAGTGCAGTTTTTTTAAGAAAGATTTTATTTACGGTAAGCAAGGATTTTATAGGTTTGCCTCATGTGCTTTCACTGTACAATAAAATTGATCCATCTTAATATATATCAGAAACTAATTTATGCTGTGGGGGCGTTCGGCTGTGCCGCCGGTGTGGGTGGCGCCGCATGTATATTAAGCAATAATTGCAAGAATAACATTGATCGCTACGATGATACGTGCAAGAATTTAAAAAACATGGAAAACTTGTTGAAAAGGATGTCAGAGTCGAATGACAATTACCTTAATCTTGATGAAGAAAGGTATCCTGGAAGGGCAGAAATTTTGATCGAGTGCCTCAAAGAATTTCAAGATGAAATTTGTAGATTACGTCCATCCACCTCATCAACAGCCACACAAAAAACTCATACACTTTGAGGACTTTATTTCTAGGCTTTATGTCGAATATCATTTGTTAGACTTGACTGTGTCAATATTGTTATTATTAGTTAGGTGAACAATAATAACACTGTAGTGAAAATCAATATTAATTATTAATAGAATAATAATCATTGGTCCCAATTTTCAATATAGTAATAGTCGCTTTTAACAATTACGTTTAGAATCTTTTTTATGGACTATTATTATTTTAGATATTTTAAGAGCTATATTAAATAAAAAATAATTGTATACAGATTTATTTATATTATAAAACATGATTTTATTATTATAAAATAACCATAAAAGAAAACAAGAGAAACCAGATTTTATTTATTGCCAAAAGCAAGTATACTAGTATACTGATCGAATCTTTTAAATTTTATTTATTTAATTTTTTTATTAGATTCCTTTATCAGGCTAGTTATATATGTTTTATTAAACAATTGTATATTATATAAAAGTTCATATATTACTAAAGCTTATTCTTTAACTAATTCATTTATCATAAATTCTAAGTACAACTATAGAAGTAAATTATTATTTTATTAGTAAATTAGGTAAAAATCATTTTTTTTTACTAATATAAGTAAGTCTTTATTATAATTATTTTAGCAAAAATCAAAACTTAATTACTTTATTTTATATATAATTTTCTTTGTTAAAATTATCTCAAGACCTTTTCTTTTATTTATTCTTTTTCAATTTTTTTTCTTAATTCTATTTCTTTTTTCAGAAAAAAAATCTTTTAAACATTTTGATTTTATCTTATTGATAAATCTTCTATATCTTTTCTATTTTATAATCTTTTATGTCTTGTATTTCAGATCTTTTTTTAAATATAATTATAGATCTTTTTTATATTTTTACTATTTATTTTCTTATCTTGAATTTAATTTTTTTTATTGTATCTCATTTTTATTATTTTTATAATATTCAAATATATACAAAATTTACAATCTTTTTTTTTTTTAATCCGCAGTCAGGTCAGCATGGCTTGTTTTTATTGTATATATATCAGATATTTACAAATTATTTTGATTTTCACATACTAACTCACCCGTTATCAAAAAACTATTTCTCTAGATACAACTTAGGGAATGATATTTCGCTCCTTTACTGACTTGGATAAATCCTCTAGTC